CCATACCGTTGGCACTAAATGGCACTCTTTTTGACATATTATTAGAGAGGCCAAGAATTGTGTTGGCATGGAGGTTGTCACTGCAGTTATGGGTTGAGGCACTTTGGCAGTGGAGCAACCTTTTCTATTCCATGTGTTGTATCTGTTCTGTGAATAGAGGGGACTTCATTCATCAGAGCTATTACAGCTATCAGTCTGGTATCTTTCACCAGCACTAAATTAACAGTAAATATTTTTTTGGCGGGAGGAGGGTGAAGAAAGCATATTTTTGTAACATGCTCCTTTTGACTTGCTGCAGGTTAGAAGCATTCTGAATATGGGCATGCAAATGAGTGCACTTTCCATTCCACCCCATTGTGTCTCAGAATTCCTCTGTTTAGAATTACTACTGAGATGCTTCAACTCACCCTGGTCATCTCCAAAAACTGTTCAACCCACTTGTCTCTGTTTTACTCACTTCTTACCTTCAATAGTCTGTATTTTAACCCATGTACTGCTTAAGAATGTGTGTTATGATAAATATATGAATTTGCTATGAACAATGTTTTTTTGTTTACCTATAATAACTGAGAGAAGACTTGTGAAGTAGGCATATTATTTATCTACCTGTATATTGTTGTAAGGTCTTTGAAAACAAATTTCTCTTTAAAAAAAAAAGGGCGGGGGGAATAGAATGGAAAAAGATGCTACTGTTGTAATGTTTCTGTAGACAAAATAGTTTTGAAGAGTTACAAGACAGCAAAAATTGTTTGCAAACCATCTTGGTAGCTTAATTCTTTGCAGTCACTTCTGTGCTCATCCCACATTTAGTCTTTGCTCTGATGCTGTGCTCTATTTTATCTTCAAGCTAAATCCCTAAAATCTCACCTGACCATGTGTGCACTAGATCTGCCTTTGTCATCCTATTTGATAGAATTTTCTTGTTTTACTTTCTTTGGCAAGGTGTCTTTTTTTACTGTAATTTCATGATGAACTCAATTGAAAATCTACTCAGCTTTCATAGAAGACATAAACAGAATACATTTTATTAGAAAATCCCTTTTATATGCACTTTTTATAAAGTAATTCTCTAGTTTTTCACTTCTAATCATCTTGTACTTCTGTAAACCCCACCAACCAGAATATTTGCCGCCTCTTGATAAAATGGGCAGCCAGTTGATTTCATTGTAGAACCTGGAACATCACTGTCACTGAATTTTGTTAGTTAATGTTTTGCAACTTGGAGTATACATCTTAAATAATTCTTTCCTAATGGTTAAATCTTTGAATTGAGTGTACCTTTTGCCTTGCAATTAGAAAGCAGTGTTCTGATGCTTTAGACCAGGGGTTCTCAAACTTCATTTCACTGCAACCCCCTTCTGATAAAAATTATTACACAATCCCAGGAGGCGGGGACCGAAACCTGAGCCAGCCCAAGCCCTGCTGTCCTAGGTGCGGGGGCAAAGCCTGAGCTCCAACACCCCGGGCAGGACTTCAGCCCCAGGTAGGGGGCCTGTAACCTGAGCCCTGCTGCCCAGGGCTGAAGACCTCGGGCTTTGGCTTCAGCCCTGGGGCCTAGCAAGTCTAAGCCAGCTCTGGCAACCCCATTAAAATGGGGTTGTGACCTACTTTGGGGTCCCGACTCACAGTTTGAGAACCGCTGCTTTAGACCAGTCTCTCATAGCGCTCTTGTTCCATGCATTTAGCAATCTGTTCTGTAGCTGTTGCATTACATTTGCATATTGTGATCAACCCATAAACTGGATAGCCTCTGTCTAGAAAGCTATAGAGAAGAAGGCTTGTAAATTATTCAGTAATACAGTGGCAACTTCTGTTATACATGTCCTTGTGCCCTTGCAGAGGTATTTGACGTTCACAGCATTGAGTTTTCACATTTGGCCATAGGAACATTTTAGATCCTTGACTAATTAAACACATTTACCCTAATTTCTTTAGAGGCTCCTTACTTTATCATCTAATTTAATATCTTTCCATGGGACAATATTAAAATCTCTTACTTTGGTTCCTAGAGGCAGCATTGTCTAGGGGTTAGAGCATCATGGGACTGGGAATCCAGTGGTGTGTAATTTTATCCTAGCTCTGCTGCTGTGTCATTGTCACCTAATCTCACTGTGCTTCATATTTTCCATCTGTAAAATGGAAGTGATTCTTGTCATACCTCCCTTGCAGTGATGTTGTGAAACTTTTTATTAATGTTTGTGAAGTGCTTTGAGATCTTTGTATGGAAGATCTTTGAAACCTTTCCAAAAACTCCTTGCCAAAATTATTAGAAAGAGTGTATGTAGCCAGCAACAACTTAGACAATTAGAACGAAAATCATATGGTTTAGTAACTTCTCATAGGAAGAGAGAGAATATAGACATCAATCAATTAGGGCCAAATTCATCACTGCCATAAGTGGCCACAACTCTATTAATGTCAACCTTTTATGCCAATAATGGAATTTGATTGGTTTTTAATATGTAGTTGGATCACGTGCTTGTTTCTCTCAGGTTAAACATGATTGAGAAGTCCTTTCTGAGTGTGCTCAGTGTGCATGTGGTACAGTCAGATT